GCTTATGTTAGGCAGAGATAAGCAATCTCATTGGTTGATGCTTTAGGGGCATGATAACTTTGGTTATAATGAAGTGAGAGCGATGAAACTCTGAGTATAAATTCATTATATCAATTACCTTGACTAAGTTTGATAATGAACATTTTCTGCTGGGGGTAAGCAGAGCGATAAGCAATTTGATTGATCGAGACTTTGGAACACAATAACTCTCCTTCTAATTGAGTTAGAATGTTCAAACTTGGTGTAGGCGTTCATTAGGTGAATGCCTTGACTGTCTGCTTATGGTAAGCAGAGATAAGCAATCTGATTGGTTGATGCTTTGGGGCACAATAACTTTGGTTATGATGAAGTGAGAGCGATAAAACTCAGAATATAGATTCATTATATCATTACCTTGACTAAGTTCGATGGTACGAATTTACTGCTTAGGCTAAGGAGCGATAAGCAATTTGATTGGTCAAGACTTTGGAACATAACAACCCTGCTTTTAATTAGTAAGGTTGAATGTTTAAACTTCATGTAGATGTTCATTAGGTGAATGTCTTGACTGAGTTCAATGATTAACATTTTGAGATAATCTTGATTCTATCTGATAGAGAGTGATGAAACTTAATGTATAGTTTGATTGCTCGATACTTTTGAAAAAAATAAATGTGCGATTAATTAATATGTGTCATCTATTTATTTTGGGATTTCGGCGGGGGACATCAGCCTCACTATTGGCTTGTTTTAATTTTATTTAACATTATATCAATTGATAGATGTTACTTTGTTTGACACAATGAAGTTTTACACTCGCCATTTTGAAATATGTCCAGCACGATATTGTTTGAGCTCCCCAAATATCAATACAAGTTAATTTATTGATAAGTTTAAGAAGCATGTTAATTATTGTACATTTTTATGAATTTGAATTATTTAAATGCGTTAATCATTCGGAGCTACTTTTTTCCCCCGTGTATGGAGAAAGTCAACAGTAGATGTAACTCGTCAAGTACTCAGTACGCACTGGTTATTTAAAAGACTGTTTTGGCAGAAACATAGCACCAAGAATAGTTTTGTGACAGGTTCCCAGAAGTTTAGAAAGTCGGCTCTGATATTGTAAATAAAGTAAGAAAATAGTGTACTTGCGATCAATGAATGAATGAATGTCTCGTTATTGTTATATATTATGAATGTATAAATAAATAAATAAAATGATTACAGTGTTCCTTTATTTATTACGGAGGTGGGTTTGTATCAATGCTGATGTGACATTTAATTTTGTGTGACTGTCCTTGACCCAATTAAACCCGATAAACATTTCAATAGCATGTTGTTTTGAGGCTTTTCATTATGTGCTAAAAATAGCACCACTTTCACCATGTGAAAAATGACCGTCTGGGAAAATTTTGAAGTGGAAGCCCTGTTGTAAACCTATGACTTCAGTGTCTTGAAAATGGTGTTTTTAAAAGATGCCCCAAGATGTATTTCTTAAAAATCCTTACAAAACGAATTTCGACTGTGCTCTCTGATATTTAACCATACAAGTATTAGTTAAATGAGTCTGTTTCATTAAAACAACCAGGAGTAAATTAAAGTTGGTTTGATAGCAGTAAAGAAATCAATAGTAGGATTTAATTTAGATTGACATTATTTTTGTCTTAATGATCCCAATTTTAGATCACCTACTAATTGCCTGTGTTCGACATCAATAGTACATCAATACAAAAAATATTAACTATATGATTCATGCAAACTTCTCTACATAAAGTGGATATAAGTAATGAGTGTGCTAAAACCATTTGCAAAAACACAAAAACCTACATTACTAAACACCAGACACGGTTACACAAAGTATTAATTTAATAAAATCTGGTTTCTGCTGACAAAAATATCCTATTTGGATGAAAATTCAGAAATTCATAACATTTTTCCTCACCTTACCATTTAATTTTATTTTATTGGGGATGGGGTTGGTGTCCTACATTTTATATTGCAAGTATTCTTTATTTTTTATAAATTACTTGTGTTAAGCAATATATAATATATATATATATATATATTTCTATTATTGATTTTGAGAAGAAAATATATTTCTTAAAAAGACATTAACACATGTAAACTATAAAACTCCTATTAATGATCACACACTTCAACAAATGGTTGTATTAAATGGCTATTCCACACAAAGATATGTGGGTAGAATGTGTTAAGTAATTTGTTCCTTATTTCCATATGGTTGCATGTGAATAGATAACTGATCTATTAACAGAATGAAAGCATCTTTGTTCTAGAGATAATTGTCCCATCCAGTAGGCAAGCCGAGAACTGTCAAAATCGCTAATGAAATTAGACGTGAGAGAAAGACTGACGTTACACATCAATAGATATATTTCCTCTATTCATCAATATTCTATTGGCACTGTTTATCACATTCTAATATTCCTGTAATCGATTCACATCTCATATACCGTATGTTCAGAGCGTGGTGCTTTTTAAAATGGAATATTACATGAATTTAAGGCAGATGACAAAGATGTTGACACTCTTAAAGTGTATTCTACTTCTACATTAACCCCCCCCCCCCCAAACCCAATTAATTTGAAAGCTTATCTTTACAAAAGATTCAATTCAAGCCCATTAAATCCACTTCCACTTTTAGAGAACAAATAATTGTGTGTAACCAGAATTTAAATATACAAGAAGGGACTCCAAACGTTTTCATTATTTATTGATAATTTCCATCCGTTGTAATCCTAATACATAGCCATCAATTGGAAAACAGTGGGAAATGTATTGGTTACCAAAAGCATTAATGTTATTAATTTATAACCAGCGGCTGCCAGGCAGGGCAATAATCCAGAAAGTTATGGTCTGAAATGCCCTAATATCAAAAGGGACTGAGATCTTTGGGATATAAAGATATATATGTTTTAAGTTTCATCAAAATCGGATAAAAATTGTGACCTCTAGAGGGTCCACAACCTTAGTAGCATACTTTTACACAATTTGCATACAAAGTGCGGCCATTTTGTCTGGCAGTTTTATTTCGATTTTCCAGAAATTCGAATTCAACTTTCATTATGGTGGAATAGTGATATAATTAAAAGCCTTTCAAATGCGATTTTTCGAACAATCAGGAGCCATAATCCAGGAAGTTACGGTGTAACGGTGATATATTCGAATGTTTTTTTTAAATCAAATAATAATTATGACCTCTAGAGGAACCACAAGCTAAAAACGCGATTTTTTGTACATTCAAGGGCCATAATTCAGTAAGTTACGATTTGATATGTGCGAATATCGAAAGGAACTGAGATCTGTGGGTTATAAACATGTAGTTCAAGTTTCATCAAAATCAGATGAAAATTGTGACCGCCAGAGAGTCCACAACCCTGATACCCAATATTTTGACACTATTTGCGAACAAGGGGAGGCCATTTTGTCCGTCAGTTTCGGTCAGATTTTTACGAAATTCAAACTCAACCATTCTTAGGGTGTAACGGGGATATATTCACACATTTTTTTGAATAGGATTAAAATTGTGACCTTTATGAGGTCTACAAGCTAAAAACGTGATTTTACGTACAATCAGGGGCCATAATTCAAGAAGTTATGGTCCGATATGTGCGAATATCGAAACCCAGATCTGTGGGTTATAAACATACATTTCAAGTTTAAACCAAATCGGATAAAAATTGTGAACTCTACAGTGTTCACAAGCTAAAAACGTGATTTTTTGTACAATCAGGGGCCATAAGCCATGAAGTTACAGTCCGATACATGCCAATATCAAAAGGATTCGAGATCTTAGGGTGATAAACCTATATTTCAAGTTTCATTGAAATCGGATAAAAATTGTGACCTGTAGAGTGTTCACAAACAATTGTGGAGTACGTCCGTCCGTCCGGCCAGGGGTGACGACAATATACGTCCACATGAAAATGTGGGCGTATAAAAACCAATCAAATTGAGTCTTTGCATGGACTTAAAGATATCTTATGGGAGATTAGATAAAGAGCTGGTAGTTCTCACTATAATAGTTAAATACTACATAATGTAAAGGGAATTTGCTGAAAATTTCAGTCAAATTGATCCACCCTGAAGCGAGTGTTAAGCGATTGAATTTTGGGCCTAGCCTCGATCATCACTACTCAAGTTGGTACTATAATAAAAACATAAGTCTCGATTATCCATTTTTTGATTTAATCAAAAGCAGCAAACTGGATTCTAATCCAGTAAATATCACAGGCTAGTGATGCCATCGAGAGTTGATTATCGTCTGGATAAGTTAATGTCTAATTAATAATTTAGATAACATTTCAGGTCTAAAGAAAGACCTGCAATTGGCAGATTTAGCTCTTGTATAATGTATGTTTAAAACACACTATATTATAGTCATCTACAAACTCATTGAATCTTACAAAACACTAAATTTCTCAAATACCATATTTGAAAACTCTTAATTCTTGAATAGGAAGGCTACCAAAATAATACTTTTCACAATAAGTGACATTGGGAAGTGATAAACATGGCAAAAGTACCGAAGCTTAAACTGTTTCTAAATTAATTTGCATATTAACAATTAGCATGATTGTTGTTCCAATAATCTATATGTTTATGGAGCAATACCCTTTCTCAAAAATCTAGATGGTAACCAAATCTAGAATTTTAACAGTCAGTACCACTGATGAATATCTAATGACAATGATCAAAACTGTATTTCTGAAGATGAATATCAAGATGATAAAGAGTACTGCAAAAGCTAAACTACCCACATGCAGATCTACAGATGATACGGGTGATAATGAAATAGTACTGTTTTAGGTGATCATGCAATAAAGATGATGATAAAAAAAAAACGCCCAACAGAATGGAAGATGGAAAATTTATGATAAATGTGATGCTTTAGAGAAGATGAATAATCTACACAACAAAGATGAAATCATATCACAATTCAGATTCTTCATTCTTTTAAGTGCAATTTTCAAAATATTTTCATAGAAATTGGGACTAACCTTTATTTCCTTTCACCAATTCTAGTTCCATGATATTTTCTGTTGGTGCCTTCAATCTTTTAACATACTGTAATAAAAAATACATTTTAATTGCAATTCAGCTGACATAAAAGCAGTATATTAAGCCTCCAGCCTACCCAGAACAAATTGTGAATGTATCAAAAGGTAATACCAAATTGAATTTGTGCTTGAGTTCATTTCATAAATTATTACTTTCGTCACACATGTTTTGGCCTTTATCATTTCTGGATTTTGTAGGATGACAGTAAAAGCATTAATCATCACACATGCCTTTCAAATAGAGGGAATCAAAAACTGCAAGCCACCAAAACTATGTCCAGAGCAGCTAAGTCATCTGAGCAATCCCTAAATGTTGACATATTGTGAATATGAATCATAAACCAAAGTAAAGGCAACCTTACCCTTTGTTATGTAGAAACCTAGGATCAAAACCACACCCCTGAGTTAAAGCTCATAATTAATTTGAAGTTAATTAGATAGAATTCAATAGACTTCTTCATCTCTATAGCATTCACAAGCTATAGCACTATAAAGAGAACAAGGATAATGACCCAAGAACTAAATGATCTGAACAATGTATATCAATTTCAAGCAGAACAAGTGATAACTTTTGTCACTAGAGTTTTCACAAGGATCTACAAAGTGAGTAAATAAACAATTAATGGAAACCCTTCTTCACTTCACTAATTGCTAGACAATGAATTGGTGAGGCCTTAGAATGTAGTATAGATAATAAAATAATATAATTTGACGATAATTATGTCCTGAAATACATCACTTTTATCTTCTATATATATATTTGTGACTGTCGTTTGTCTGTCTGTCTGTTCGGGGTTGGCGGCTACACTAGGTCTGCCCCGAGTCTAAAATTTGGGGTATAGGGTTAGCGCGGATGGGGAGTAACATAGGCCAGGTGGCGTTAGTCTACCACTTCCGGTTTCAGAGTTATGACCCCCGAACTAAGCCGGTCTGTTCGGGGTTGGCGGCTACACTAGGTCTGCCCCGAGTCTGGAATTTGGGGTATAGGGGTAGCTGGACCGGGGAGTAGCATAGGCCAGGTGGCGTTAGTCCACCACTTCCGGTTTCGGAGTTATGACCCCCGAGCGAAGCCGGGTATCCTGCTAGTATACTAATATTTGTGACTGTCGTTTGTCTGTCTGTTCGGGGTTGGCGGCTACACTAGGTCTGCCCCGAGTCTGAAATTTGGGGTATAGGGATAGCTCGGACCGGGGAGTAACATAGGCCAGGTGGCGTTAGTCTACTACTTCCGGTTTCGGGGTTATGACCCCCGAGCGAAGCAGGGCATTCTGCTAGTATATTGATAATTGTAAATGGACCTATCGTTTCCAGTAGACAAGTGCCACAAGATATTGGCCAAGGCATGAAAAGTAACATGTGGCAAGGTATCGATAATATTAGCATATAATCTGGCATAATGACTTTTGTCGGTTGTTGATTTTATTGTGTCAGTAAAGGGCCGGTCACACAGGCTTCCGCGAGTTGATCACGAGTGTATCGCGAGGAAGAACTGTCAAACGCGAAGTAAGCGCGGTCACAAGTGAATGACACGTGAATGAAACGTGGTGGACTCGCGAATAACAAGTGCGCACACGCGCGAAAAATTTTACACGCGCACGGAGTCCGATTTTATTTTTGAGCAGCACAAAAATTAGGCGCAACGGCCACCGCGTGTCGCACACGTGGTGTAAACGCTGTACAAACGCGGGCCAAACGCGATAACACGTGGTACACTCGCGGATCACAAGTGGACGACAAGTGGTCACTCGCGGGCAAACGCAAAATTTCTTCGTGTGACTGCGTGTGTAGCACTTGTCATCCACTTGTGATCCGCGTGTCTACAGCGTTCCTACCACCTGTGATAGCGTGTGCTCCACGTGTAAAAGGCTTCCTCAGGGATTGTGTCACGAGTCATCCGCGGGCCATTCGCGTGTTTTCGCGTTGAATCGCGATTGAACCACGACTGATTCGCGTGTCGTCCACGACCCAATCTCGTTTGTACCACTAGTTATTTCTGCTATAAAAAGATCGCGTGTGGGCCATTTTTCATCAGTTGTGATCAAGACGTTGAAGAGGCAACATGGATCCGGCGCATCGTAATGCTTTGGTTATGCTGTTCCAGCAACATCAGAACCAGCTACTTCAGGTTCAGCAAGCCCTGGATGTCAGAAGAAGAGTGAGGAGAAGACAAAGAAGAGTCAGAGCCATATGGGTGCGCCAATGGATCAACCGCAGGCCACAGCTGGGGCTGTATGACAGGCTGATGGTGGAGCTGAGGAACGAGGACCCCCGTGCCTTCAAGAACTTTATGAGAATGCCTCCGGTGATGTATGATGAACTGGTGGAAAGGCTGACACCAACACTGACGAAGGAGACAACCAATTGGCGAGCTCCCTTGGACCCAGGCTTAAAGGTGGCCATCACCTTGAGGCACCTTGCATCAGGCTCGAAATACAGGGAGATGCAGTATGGCTGGCGTGTCCCACACAACACCATAAGCCTCATTGTTCGTGAAGTTTGTGAGGCAATCGTGCATGTATATCGTGAGGAGATGCTGTCACCTCCAGAAACCCCCGAACAGTGGCAACAAATTACAGACGATTGGCTGAACAGGTGGAATTTCCCTCACGTGATTGGAGCTATAGACGGCAAACACATAGCATGCAAGGCCCCTCCCAACTCTGGCTCTGAATTCTACAATTACAAGGGTTTTTTCAGCATTATTCTCTTGGCTGTGGTGACCAGTGATTACAAGTTCTTATGGGTGGACGTGAGTGGCAAGGGGGCCTCATCAGACGCGCATATCTACAATGCCAGTGAGTTTAAAGAAGGCTTACAGAACGGTGACATTCTTGGATTCCCTCAGCCTACTCCCCTCCCAGGGGACACAGAAGATCTACCTTACTTCCTGGTGGGTGACGATGCATTTGGATTGAGAAGCTTTATGATGAAGCCCTTTGGGAACAGACAGCTATCAAGAAAACAAAGAATCTTCAACTACAGATTGTCAAGAGCAAGACGGGTGGTGGAAAATGCCTTTGGCATTCTTGCCAACAGATTCCAGGTGTTACTAACAACAATGATGCACCAACCAGACACGGTTAGGCTCATTGTCAAGGCATGTGTGGTCCTCCACAACCTGATGCGCACGAGGTATCCTGTCATGCAAAACAGACTTGTTGACATTGAACGCCCTGATGGAGCCCTGGTGCCTGGTGAATGGCGTCGAGGAAAGAATCTGGATGACACAAGACCTGAGAACCTACCAGGAACCAACAGAGACTACAAATTGGCCAAGGCTCAGAGGAATCTCATAATGGAATGGTGTTCATCCCCTGCTGGGAGTGTTGCATGGCAAGACAACATGCTCCTTGACTAGTTCTTGTGGAAGTGACAGTGTGGACAAATGATAGTGTTTGGGGGCATTGTGGCAGTATGTGTTTGGGGGGGGGGGGGCAGCATTTGTGGCAATAAAACTTTGATAAAACTATTATATAATAAAATAAATGAAAAAAATCCTGCAATAAAATAAAGTACATTTCAAATTTGAAAAAAATAAAAGTAAGCTTAGGACCTTTAGTCCTAAACTCACTTTTATTTCTTTTCATTTGAGATGTAATTTTATTTTATTGCAATAATTTTAAAATTTATTATTTTCAATGTATTGTTACATTTGTTGCCATTCAATAATATGGTTATAAAATAAAAATGAAAGATTATTGGAATAAAAATATTTGAAATGACAAAGAAAAGAAGTTACATAAAGTATTTATTCAACTTTTATTTTTGACATTTGAAATACATTTTTGTTGCAATATTCTCCCACTTTCATTTTATTATAATTACAACTTCTAAGTCACATGGTGCAAATACTATTTTCTGATTGACTGAGATGCAACATACAATCCAAGTTCATTGGGCGATGAACAAGGTTTTGCAAACGGACTACTTTTCTACGGAGTAATTTTACTAGTTTTGTTCGCTATAAATCGATAAAATCAAATGAAATTTGTTGAGTTGTAATTACAAGAAATGAAATTAAATTTGTCGAGTTTACGGCGTGCGTTATACAAATAAGTGCACTTTTCCCCGACGTTCATCACGCCGTAAACTCGACAAATTTTAATTTCATTTCTTAAACCATTTCACAAAGTTCAATTTATTCACGAAAAACAATTAGTAACAGTTCAACAATTTTATTATCACGTATCACGTGTATAACAAGTGAAATAAAAGAAAGTCACTGCTAGCAATCCATGCTATGGCAAAAACAAAATACAAAATACATCAGTTCAAGGAATGTCACTGTAGCACCATGCACCACATCCCAACACAACAAAATACAACTGTCAGTGTAACATGAAACCTTCATGCATCCTCATCCTCACTGTAACTGTCACGAGTTCCCTGAGTAGCCACAGACTGAGTGTCACTCTCAACTGCTGTTGGTTCCACGGCTGGTGGTGTTGACAAGGATGGTGGTGCACCCAAAGCTGCAGATGCCAGAATGGGAGGTCGGTGAGTTGCTGGTGACACTGTCGAGAATGGTGGGGTGTTCATACTGTCTTGTGAAACACGGCCGAAGTTGCTCTGCTCCATGTTGAACGACCAATCCCCACCTAGGGCAGTGCTCTGTGCTCTGGACATCGATTCTGAAGATGCTGTGTGTTGACGAGGAGTACTGAGGTTGGGTTGTTGAAGCTCTTGCTGCCCAGGGTACTGCTGCTGCTGTTGGTATCCTCCCCCTCCTCCCCCTACACCATGCTGCCAGGCATAATAGTTGGGCTGTGTCTGGAAGTACTGCTGATGCTGAGGGTACTGTTGATGGTACTGATGATACTGCCCAAAGGAGGCGGCTGTGCAAGTTGGAGGAGCCGAAGTGGAAGCTGAGGGTCTTTCAGATTGAGCCTTTATCTGTTTCAGTATATCCGATATGAGCTCTTTGACATTGTTGAAGTCTTGAAGACTGCAAGACCTGAGAGTCTGGGTGACATAGCTTATGAAGGGTTCACGCTGGCTCTTCTCCCTCTCCTTGTCCTCGAGCATTTTTTCCATCAGCTTTGCAAGGAGTGTTTGGTTGGTCTGAAGATTTTTACGAAGTTCGGGCATCCAGCTCTCCGCCTCGTCCTCCTTCCTCCTCCTCTTCCTGTGCTGGAAACTAGAGTTGACTGATCCGAGCTCTGCTGCCTCCCTCTCGAGGTCTTCGAGCACATTGCCTGACTGTCTCTCCGTCTCAGCTGGGTCATCCAAGGATAGCAGAGGGGGTCTTGCTGTGGACGTGGAGGCAGAACCAGCGGCAGAACCAGTAGTAGAGCCAGCAGCAGCAGTACGTCGGATCTGCATGACAGTGTCAGATTCTTCATCAGGTATGGCAGCTGAAAGAAGGTAAACGTTTGTTAAGTGTTTTGCATTCAAATTTTTCTGAACAATATTAAAGGACTGTTATTAGGGACAAGTGAATTTCTGAATAATCATTACACTAAATCGTAGTAATTATTATGTTTTAAATTTTAAAATTAAATGTACAAAAATGCTTTTGAAAAATGGAAATGTTTGAAATAATTATCAACATATGTACTGACCTTTGTAGAAGGAAATATTATTCAGCACCCACTTGTCCCTGTCGGTGAGAAGCTTGCGCTCCTGGCCACTGGCAACCTTGATCAGCCTGACGTACCAGTCCTTCAAGTTCTTCCACCAGTGCCCGAGGTAGTCAGTCGAGATACCAATTTCTTTTGCTTTAGCTTCCCAGGCTTCTGTCTTTTTCTTGTAGTCACGTTGACTGCGCATCCACAAGTAACTTCTGTCTCGCATCCACTCAACCAGATCCTGTTCTGTGTCAGGTGGCAACTTCCACTCCTTCTTGGGACCTCTTGGCTTTCTCGGCTTCTTGCCCTTGCCCTTGGCATGACCATCAGCCTCTTTCTGCTCCTCCACAGGCTCCTCTCGCACCAGAACTTCGGGTGTGGGGTCATGTGACGCAGGTGACGAAGGTGAGGCAGGGTTCTCCAGTGGCACAAGCTGTGGCTCAGCCTGAGTGGCGACGGGCATAGTGGCAGTGCTCTTAGAAGGACCACTCGTGCTGACTGGAGTGTTTGCAACTGTTGTACAAAATGAAAAGAGAAAATAAAGGTATTTTTAATAAATAGTAAGGAATGTTGAAAAACATACATATCAAATGAACACTTCAGCATAAATAAAATTGAAATAAATAAATTTGAATACTTTCTGACAGCCACGTAAACGAATATTTAAATAAAATAAATTTTGAACACGTCACGTTATACTAGTAACGAGTATTTCCAAATAAAAAATCAAAAACATGTTACATAAATTGTACTTACCATCCGGAAGAAGCTCGTCCTCTTCTCCACTGCCATTGGAACCAGGGACACCAGCAGCGGCAGCAGCAGCATGTACACGAGCCGTCACCTTTATGCCCATCTTCTTGGACTGCCTGTTCTTGCTGCCCTGGGGGGGCTCGGGGGTGCTGCTCTCCACCTCCTCGGTAGCAGTTTCAGGCTCCGAGACTTTTGCCTTCGGCCTGGGCCTTGCTTGCCTCTTCATCTTCTTGGGCGTGGAGTTGCCCTTCTTTGATTTCGGTGCCATGATTTTGATCTTTACTCTACGGAATATTGATCGATACTGATCCAGAACACCGGACGCGGCGGCTTTTATACACGCGGGCGGCAAGCGGAGCACAAGTGATCGGCACGTGATTCACACGCGGAGCACATGTGGAGCACAAGTGATACACACGCGCTGCGTGTGACCCCATTTTCTGACCACAAGCGCTCACACACGGAGGACTCGTGGTGGACACGCGATGCACACGCGCGCGTGTGGTCCACTTGTCATTCGCGTGTCCAGCATGTCTGAGACAAATTGGTTGATTTTCACCGCGTGTAGAAAAAATTTGCAAAATTTATAGCAAAATTACACGTGATCAACTCGCGGAAGCCTGTGTGACCGGCCCATAAATGTCCAGCCTACATCTCGCCAGCAACTGAAGTCAAATCAGTGGTGTGTTTCCATTGCATGTCAGTATCTTTTTATCTTTAAAAACAATCTGTTCCTTATGTTTTTATATTATTTGTTTTCTGACAGATTCCACCTTATCTCTGACATCTATGTCAATTCAATAAGTTTGGAATTAGCTGCAGGACATTATATAACATCAAATGGGAAAAGGTTGGTATAAGCTTATATGCAAAATGGGAAAAGGTTGGTATAAGCTTTTATTCGAAACAAGGATTTGGTTGGTGTGGTAATATGTTTGATGCTTTAGTTACAATATCTTGTTTCCAGTATATTTCAGCATTGTGCAAATTAAAACACAGAAAGGAACAGAAAAAAATAATGCATAAATGGAAACCAAGATTATCATTTAGTATATTGATGGTCCAATTAGGCACTTATCGGTTTATCCAGGGCTCACACTGTCGGTCGCCAAAGTCGCAATTTGCGATAAAAATATGAAAGTGGCGATTAAAATTTGATTTTGGCGATAATGTTTGGCGGTACTGGCGATTCTTTTTGAGAATTGGCGGAAAAAAATCTTAAAATTTTAATCGTATTTATCCTGGATTAACCATTATTGAGTGTCAATCACATGGCGGGATACTATAAATTAATCAACTGGCTGATAATCCGGATCGCGTCAATGAATAATACTAATCAGTTGTCTTGGATTAATGATTGGTTGATTGATAATTGCAAATGATATATATAAAGCCTATCTCAAGTCATTATTTACACCTAATGATTAATCCAAGTGGTGACTATTTGATGTTTCGTTTCGTCCTTAAAAAATGGCAATACATTGTACAGGTAATCAAAATGGCCGACAGTTTCTTTCGAAGAGAATGAAATATTTCGATAGTTGAATTCCGTTTACTGTGGCTTCATATGGCATGTAAAATATACAAGCATGTCTATCGGATATCATTATTTCAAATTATATTATCGCCACTGGTTGAAAACGTAAGAACGAGTTAATAGCGACGATTCTTGAACGAGAAAACAGTTCGTCATTTGTAACACATTACCTTCGCCAAAATGCTTTAAAAGTGAACGATGGGTATAATTGTAAGCATCTCTTAATATAATTGACATTTATATCATTCTATCAGGGATTCAGATTCTAATACCTTTACGGTACCGAAAATAACAATAGGCCTATTGTAAACCAACACATAAATCTTGGGAAAATTGGCAATCCTTGGATGAGATTTGACGTGTAAATACTGAAAATATATTGTGCAGTACGAATGTTCAAATAGACTAAAGTCACCAAAAATAAAATCTGATCTTAGTAAATCCAAACTTTGCTAACCTATTATGTAAAGACGGATTTTTAAAGTTGTTGTATATTGTATTGTATTTATCGGTAATTGTTTATAATCAACCTAGCTGAGGCATAAAATTGTTAGATGTTGTCTTTTTTATCACACATTTTTGGCAGATAAAATATTCCGGTTGGCGGAAAAAAATATAAACATTTTGTTTATATCAAAATTATCACCCATTTTGGCAGAAAAAATTGAAACCCAGCGTGAGCCCTGCCGATATCAGATATGTATGGTCGCCGATTAGTGCTGGGTATCGAGATTTATTTTTACTATCGATAATCGGTATCGAAACAATCTTATTTTCACGATCGTAATGAAGAATGGATTACGTGTTTTAAAGTCAAACCATACAATGTTTTTGTTCGTCTAATTAATAATAAACTGTCTCATATTACGTATAAATTGTTTAAATAATGTAGCCTTGGTTCCGAATGACGAAATACCATTGATAGGCCTATGTATGTGCATGAACCAAAATAAAATGAGCACGAGTCGATTTAAAACATTGCGTATGTGAGCGCGACAAATACCAACATGGTGGACAAATCGTTGTTGATTCGTGTGCAAAAACTAAAGAAAATGTAATAGCCTAATGAGCTTGTTATCCCAAATTCGTAAATTGTTTATTATTATTAAAAAAATACAGCCTTGATTCCGAAAGAAGAAATACAAACGTTTTTGTCATCCATCATTGCTATGTCATTTATAAATAATGAGCAGACGAATTCTGAAAGGGGAAAAACTCTGAATTATTTACACATCCGGGTATCTCCATTTAGCGAATTCCATGATATGGCGATTATTGTTTCAAACTAAAGTATTGTTTAAATGTGGGTGAATTTATTTTAACATTTTTTTTAAAAAGCTAAATTGAGATTGAGACTTTGAAGTAAATATAAAGTGACCGATGTAGGCTAATTGTATTATTATATATATACGAAGGATTAAGTCACAGAAAACATCGAGTCGACTCCTACGCACGCACGAAAAATAGACGAAGAGAACGATACCGGTACTCGATAGTGCTTTTTGGCATATCTTATTTTGATACTATCGATATTTTACCCAGCTCTACCGATGATATATAGCAATACTTTCAACTCTCAATATGGCTACATGCCGATTTTTAAAATATTTTTTAGAATAAAAAAATTGTACTAAAAACGGTACGATAAGAATTTTCTCCCTTAACTCAATAACTGTAAGGATGCATTATTTTTGTAAAAGTAATAAAAATATTGAACGTGATGTGATAGGCAGGCCTGTAACAACATTATGACTGAGAAACAATATCTACAATAAACAGATTTACATATGATCGACATATTAAAATAAGCTGATAATATCATAATTCATGACATAAAAATTGGCCTTGGATTTTCAATTTTTGGCCTTGGATCAAGGTTGCACTTTGGCCTATCGTAGGCCAAAGTTGGCCTTCGATCGAAAAAACGAATTTCGAGCCCTGACCATTACACAAATAAATGTCTCGAATGGCATGATAATCTATGTAGATATTTGTCGGGAAACGCATGGTACTATTTTACTGCGGGAATCAAACAAGAACACTGTGTTTTTGAAGTAATAATTGGGTCACGCTTCCTATGCAATCAAAAATACACACCATCTATTATGAACTTAAATATTTGCTGTATTATATCATTAATTAATAAAGTCAAGTTTATCATATTTTAAGTGTTGATTACGATATAATTACCTAAAATGATTGGCACGGACGGCCCCTGGATGTCTATATTAGTTCATACGGTAATGAATGATACATCAAAGCAGTAGCTTCCCGACCTGTCTGTCAACAGTGGCAATCACGTGACCATGTGGACGCCGGACCGCCGGCAGGATGGACGGGAGCGACAACAATATACGACCACATTTCAATGTAGGCGTATAAAAATAAAACATCTAATGGGAACTTATTTGGTGGTAATATTATTAATTAATAAAGTATGATCTATATTATGAGTTATTATTTGTTAATACAAATTATGTAAAAATTTTAAAGTAGCCTAGCATAACAATACAAATCACTAATTAAATTATTTCTAAATTTTAACAGCATCCAGAAGCCGGAATGTCTGACAGTAATCACGTGACATCAAAGGGATATCCCCTCTTTCATCCTTCATTCCAATCACCCGCAAACCATGTGATATTTTCCCACCTTTTCCAAAAGTTCTACTCATTATGCTAGTGGAAGACAATACTAGCAATGAACTAGATAAAACGAAGGAAAGAAATGCTGCGAAGTAGTAAGATTCGAAACTATTTCACGATAAGCGACGCTTCATCACGGTATGCAATGATGAGCCATTGTTGACATTGTCTTTAATTTTATTATCATGAATCATGATAGACAAAAAACTATTGTGAGGACAACTGTTTATTTCATAGTTAATAAATTTGTTATTAGTTATCAGAAACAATTTAAATAAAAAATTCAATAGGCTAATTAGGCATTGTACTAGTTTGTAATCTTGCAATATCAGCACGCATTGAAAACAGATCGAAGAGGGGCCTCCGCGCAGGGCTGTCGGTAATTTTTCACAGTTGATTAGCAGCACTGCTAATCAAAAAGTCCAATTTTGCCAAATTTGATTAGCAAATTTAAAAATTGATTAGCAGTTTTTCAGTTTCAACGTAAAACACCTAAATAACAAGATATTACTTTAATTCATAACAAATATGATTCGATTCCATTCTGACTATTCTTAGATTTTTTAGCACTGCCACAAGTACTTGTGACAGTTTGTGAATGTGATGTAGACATTTAGTTAGGTCTTATGTCTGAAGCCAATTCTTGACAGTGACTTCCGAAGCCCCACTCATTTTAATTGTTATTTTTTGTCACGTTAGAAATCTT